CCCCATCAGGCTAACATCGGATCTCTCAGCAGAAACAATGCAGGCAAGGAAAGAATGGAGAAATATAGTCAAAGTGTTGAATGAAACACAATTTCAACCAAGAATACTATACCTGGCAAGATTATTTTTCATATGGGAAAAAAGATAAAAATATTCTCAAATAAACAAAATTTGGAAGAATTTGCCAACTCCAGACCAGCTCTTCAAGAGATTCTTAAGGGAGTACTACACCAGGAAAACTAAAAAGTCAGACAGACAGTTATATGAGAACAAAAAGCAACCAAGAAAATTGCTCACTTAATGATAGGATCAGATATGGAAATATCAATAATTACATTGAATGTCAATGGATTAGATTCTCCAATTAAGAGACATAGACTGGACGAATGGATAAGAAAACAGAAACCCTCTATCTGTTGCCTACAAGAAACTCACCTTATGGATAAAGACATACATAGACTAAAAGTGAAGGGCAGGAAAAAGATATTCCATGCAAATGGAAATCAAAAAAGGACAGGAGTAGTGATATTAATTTCAGACCAAATGGATTTCAAGAAAAAGAATGTGAGAAGACACAAAGAAGGGCATTATATAATAGTAAATGGGGTAATCCAGCAAGAAGACATAATGCTTACAAATATCTATGCACCCAACTCAGGTGCACCTTAATATGTGAAGAAAAGACTGCTGGAGCTAAAAGGAGAAATAGGAAGAAAGACTATAATTGCTGGAGATCTCAACACCCCATTATCTACTTTAGGCAGATCTTCTAGGCAGAAAATAAGTAGAGAGATACAGGACCTAAATGATACTATAAATTGAATGGGCTTGACAGATATCTATAGAACTTTCCACCCTACATCCACAACATATACATTTTTCTTACCCCGGCACGGAATCTTTTCAAAGATTGATTATATGTTAGGACACAAATCAAGCCTTTACAGATTCAAAGGCATAGAAACTGTATCCAGCATCTTCTCTGACCATGATGGAATTAAACTCAAGACTAATTTCAAGAAACAACCCTGAAAATACAAAAACACATGGGAACTGAACAACCTACTTCTTTTTTTTTTTTTTTCTGGAGAGGTTTTTGCTATAGGGCACATGCGCTCACCAGACAGACAGAGAGAGACAGAGAGATAGAAAGCGAGAAATCAACCCCCCAGGGAGGATGATCACGCTGCAATCCCTTCTCCTCCATTCTCCTCTCGGGATCTTGGGCACACACGCACACGCGCCCGGCGTGAGTTTAAGCCACCAGATCCGGGACGCGAACCGCGGTCAACTACGTGGGAGTCCAGCGACATAGCCATTATGCTAACTGCTGGTCCCTGAACAACCTACTTCTGAATGATTTCTTCACTACTGAAGAAATTAAGTCTGAAATTTAAAAAATGTATGGAAACAAATGATAATGAGTACACAAGTGTCCATAATATATGGGATACGGCAAAAGCAGTCATAAGAGGGAAATTCATAGCAATTAATGTGCATAAGAAAATGATGGAAAGATGGCAAATAGATAACCTATCATCATGCCTCAGGGAATTGGAAAAACAACAACAAACAACCCCAAAAAATGCAAGGCGAAAAGAAATAATAAAGGTTCCAGCAGAAATAAATGAAATAGAAAATAAATGATTCATACAGAAAATAAATAAAAGCAAAAACTGGTTCTTTGAAAAGATTAACAAAATCAGCACAACATTGGCTAGACTGATCAAGAAGAAGAAAGAAAGAAACCAGATTAATCAAATATGTGATGAAACAGGCAATATTACAACAGACACAGTAGAAATACAAAATATCATTAGAGGATACTATGGGTGACTATATGCCAATAAACAAGATAACTTGGAGGAGATGGACAAATTCCTGGATGCATATAATCTACCAAGATTGGATCAGGAGGACATAGAGAACCTGAGTAGACCCATAACAAGCCAGGAGATTGAATCAGTAATAAATAACCTCCCAACAAAAAAAAGCCCAGGTTCAGATGGCTTCACTTCTGAATTATACAAAACTTTTAAGGAAGAGTTAACTCCTATCCTACTAAAATTATTTCTAAAGATTCAAAAGGAAAGAAACCTTCCAAATTCATTTTATGAAGCCTCCATCATCCTCAGCCCCAAAACAGATAAGGACATGACAAAAAAGGAAAACTACAGATCAGTATTATTGATGAATATAGATGCAAAAATTCTCAACAAGATACTTGCAAATCATATCCAACAACATATAACAAAGATTATTCATCACGACCAGGTAGGCTTTATCCCAGGGATGCAAGGGTGGTTCAACATATGCAAGACCATAAATGTAATACACCACATTAACAGAAAGAAAGATAAAAACCATATGATTATTTCAATTGATGCAGAGAAAGCATTTGATAAAATACAACATCCTTTTATGATTAGGCCCCTTAGTAAGATTGGTATAGAAGGGTCATTTCTCAACACAATAAAAGCAATCTATGAAACACATACAGCT